GGGGGGGGGAACCTGGTACTTCCACACAAACCCGGCTGATTCATCTTCTCTGACAACAGTTTGAAAGAGGATGGGGAGGGGGAAGAGGGGATCAAATAACCCTTTACTTTCACACAAACCAGGTAGATTCATCTTCTCTGACAACCGTTTGAAAGAAGAGAGGAGTGAAGGGGTAGGAGAAGGGGGTGGGGTGAGTATGATGTGGGCTGATGGGTCCCCCCTGGACAAGCAAGTCGAGACACCCCAAAGAGAGAGAGAGATACTTTGACATCTTCAATCCTCTCTCTCTCTCTTTCTCTCATACACACATGGACCTTGAAACAGGGACCAAATCTCGACCTTACACAGTCACTACCCAAGCCAGCTGCATGGCCCAACTTTTGTATACCAAACCAGCACATCACCAAAATAACTATCATTTAGTGCATGAGGAAAGCAAGACTGAGAGAAAAAAATAATAGAGGGAAAGGAAAGAAGAAGGAAGTAGCCTACCAGTGGCACCCTGAAACCATAAACACACAATTTTCAGAACTTGATTTTTAAGCTCATTTGGATCAACAACTTTTATCCAGCTGACCGCTAGCATTGAGTGTGTGGCACAAAGCAGAAAAAACAAATAAAATTTAAAAACAACAATCAATCTCTGGAACATGTTAAAAAAAACCCAACCTTTTTTTTGGCCAATTGGAATTTTAAGGGCAAGGTTATTTAAGAGAGGCAGGATCTCGGAATTTAATTTAATGGCCATTTCAGACAGGACCAAGCTAAATAGGTGGAGAGCCTTAAAAACACCTCAAAACAACCCAACTTAAGAACACCCTATTAGGAATTCAAACCAGGGCTTTCCGTTTCAAGATCCAGTATGATACCAACTGGGCTTCCAGATTCTGGAAATCTATGAAAAATATGTGCCACTTCCAATACTGCGCACCACTGGAAATTAAAGAAGACAGCATGACAGTGACAGTACAGACAGACTGATTCTACAGACGTAGAACTTAAAAGACAAGAATGATGCTTTACATGCCAGAAGTTTTATAGAAATTTATATGCCAGTCATATATTAGAAGACAAAGCAATGCTCATATATGTCATCATGTCAGAAATGCTGATGCTCATATTTGTTAGAAGACATGCAACAGATGTTGAAAGACAGTTTAGACAGTTTTTAGTTCTGTATTTGTAAGAGTTTTACAGCACTTGCAACACGATAACGTCGTGTTGTAAGTGCCGAAGATGTTACAAGATGAGAATAATAAGCACAACAAAGGAGGAGAGATGAGGACAATAGATGTTTGATTGAGGCAAAAGAATGAGCAAACCACAGCTGAGCACCCTCCAACCACCCAAACAGTTTAGACAGGACTGCTCCTTCATTGTCAAAAGATGAGACCACACATCAGATGACAAACCAGGCTTCACATGTCAGATGACAGAGCAATGCTTTAATTATAGGCAGACAACAGACCAATTTGTCATGTATGGTCGTTTTTAAGCACAAGAGGGCTATCCAGAAAAATGCTGTTTTGAGAAAATCGAAGGTAAAGATTTTGCCACTTGTGCAGTTTCTTTAAAAGACAAGGAGAGTTTTCTCCATAACCTAACAAATATCCATGCAAATGAAACCAAACTTCTCTTATAGGTAGGGCAATGCCCACTTTTGGTGTAGGTCAAGATTTCTGGAAACCCCCGAAATCTGGGTTAGCCCGCTTGCCCTTAAAAGCGACCATATATAATGACAGATGGCAGACCTATACTCCACCCCTTAGAAGACAGACTGATGCTTCATATGTCAGAAGACAGACCAGTGTTTCATGTCAGACAACCGACTGATGCTCCACACGCCAGAAGACAGACTGATGCTTCATATGTCAGAAGACAGACCAGTGTTTCATGTCAGACAACCGACTGATGCGCCACACGCCAGAAGACAGACCGATGCTTCATATGTCAGAAGACAGACCAGTGTTTCATGTCAGACAACCGACTGATGCGCCACACGCCAGAAGACAGACTGATGCTTCATATGTCAGAAGATAGACCAGAGTTTCATGTCAGACAACCGACTGATGCGCCACACGCCAGAAGACAGACCGATGCTTCATATGCCAGAAGACAGACCAGTGTTTCATGTCAGACAACCGACTGATGCGCCACACGCCAGAAGACAGACCGATGCTTCATATGCCAGAAGACAGACCAGTGTTTCATGTCAGACAACCGACTGATGCGCCACACGCCAGAAGACAGACTGATGCTTCATATGTCAGAAGACAGACCAGTGTTTCATGTCAGACAACCGACTGATGCGCCACACGCCAGAAGACAGACCAGTGTTTCATGTCAGACAACCGACTGATGCGCCACACGCCAGAAGACAGACCGATGCCACAGAGGGAGGGAGAAGCAATGTAAAACACATCAATGGCATCCTTCAATCTTCCAGCAGATCAAATATCACAAAAGTCCAGAAAGCAGTTTGTAAACAGCATATTCACACAGAAACGGCATAGACAGATAAAACATAATAATAATATACACACACACACACAACACACACTGGACAGGCACATCAACCAGTATCTTTTGTCTTGTGATCCCAAATAACAATCAGTTCACAATAGGAAGTGTTTCAACGACAGTACAGACCAGCAAACTTTTACACACCGAAATTGATTAACTCACAATTTAGATTGGAAACCGCAAAAAGTTTGCTCTTCAGAGGATATATATATATCCATGCGGCTCTACAAATGGTATTATTATTCTCTACCATTCATTATTAAATTTTTTCCTAGATGCCAGAGCAAAGAAAATTAATGCTTCCAGAGCCAAGTAGTGTAGATCTACTGCTTCATAATGACTGCTCAGTGTAAGACTCTGTCATGATGGAACCTTTTTCAAAATGACGTTTGGCGGTGTCTTACACACTGAGTAGTCGATAATTGTTGCATTTTCTTATGTTTTGTCTCAGACCTATGGGCAAGGGAAACGTTTCATTCTAACTTTGTTTGAGTCAAGAGAAGCACATTGACACAATAATGGTCATTTAGAGCTGGGAAAAAGTAAAACAGACAGAAAAAAACCCGGAGGGAAAGTAAAGAAATAGAACCTACCAGTAACACCCTCCAACCACCCACATTTTAATTTGGGACCATCTAAAAAAGAAGGAAGAGCTGGCATGGCAAACACCACCTACGACACTGTACAGCTGGGCACGAATGACTCAAAAGGGTTAAAAAACGCGTACAACACATCCATAATTCAGGTAAACTGATATAATAATGAACAGTTAGCGATATCAGTTGGGGAATGGCAAATTATACCCGTACGAGATTGACGAGATTCCGGGTTTTCCGTGTTTGTGTCACTATCTGTTCCCACGTGCATTTGGTCAACACCTTTTCTCTGCCAACACTGGTGGGATAAGGAGGGAACTGCTCCCATTTATGAAGAGAAATAATTCTTAATTTTCATCAATTTCGGGAGTAAAAGCTTACTCGTCAACACTGGCAAATAAGTGCAGGGTGCACACACTGCCCCTTGCCTCGACTCTCTGTTTTCACCCCTCTTTTTCTGTCTCCCGACTCTCATACCGCAAACAGCAGGGGTTTTGCACAAACAGACACACACACTCACAGAGACACAGGTACTCACACTGTACCAGTGCCCATTCACCAATTCCCAGCCGGCCACACACCATGAGCCAGGCAGTAGAACCACTGCAGAGCCACCCAGACCAAATGCAGCCCCCCCCCCCCCCCCCACCACCCAGTTCACTTTTTAAAAAATTGCAGCCCCCTTGATCGTTTAGCTAAGACAAAAATGTGTCTGTCCATCCATCTGTCCCCCTAAAATCACTCCAAATGTATATTGGACACATGAAACGACCGTTCAGGGCTTAGCACATCTCCCATGGATAAACATTCCTTTTGCACCGCGTTGAAAGATGAACACACCAGCAAAATCCTGCACCAGTTATTAACACTTTGCTGGCAGTGCCAGCGTGTCCCATGTTGAAATAAATAGAGCAGCACGCGTTGAGTGTGTAGTCGTCTCAGTACTCCTTGTCTGTCCAGAACATGTGTCACAGAGAGTCTACCTTGTGTGGATGTGTCTGTGTAAGTTTTTTAAGTGCAAGTGCATAAAACATGTGTGCCTGTGTGTGCATAAGCACAAGCATTTAGCCCCATGATTCTTATGTGTGAGCCTACAAGTTGCCCAAACAAGTACGGTACATAAATTAAGTGGTACGCTTACTAAGTGAGACGGGTGAGTGGGTGTGTAGCCTCCATAGCGCGTGTCATCATGTATGTATATATATGAGTGTACATGAAAAATGTAGTCTGTTTTTTGCCTGTTGTGTGTGCTTGCTCTGGTTTACTAGCTGTTGAAATAGGATAAAAAAAATGGGTGTGTCACGTGTGGAAAGTGTGTGATCCACTGGTAGTGCTAGTACAGTACATGGAGTTGACTCTTGCCATAAAGTGGTCTGTGTGTACGTGTGAGGCGCCTACGAGTGTGTACTGTGTGTGTGTGCGTGCGTGTGTAAGAGAGAGAGACTGACAGTCACTGACAGAAAGAGAAAGAGAGAAAGAAAGGAACAAAGACAGAAAGAGAGTGAGAGGGATACAGACACAGAGAGAACGAGAGAGATACAGAGAGAGAGAGAGAGAGAGAGAGAGAGAGAGAGAGAGAGAAAGAGAAAGAGAGAAAGAGAGAGAGAGAGAGAGAGAGAGAGAGAGAGAGAGAGAGAGAGAGAGAGAGCCAAAGAATGTGTGTGAGAGCGTGTGTGTGTGTGCGCACCCGTGCGTGGGAGGAGAGATGCAGGCATATCTAACACAAAAAGTATCCCATTTCACATGAGGAATTCACAAAAATGCAAGCTTGCCAATTTTCCAAAGTCGAGCCATTATTCTCCAATTCCAGAGATGGGGTGGTGAATTTCTATGCTGCCAAAAGAAGATTAATCTGACTGCTTATAAAAAAGTTATCTGAAATCAACTGAGTAATTGCCAGTGCAAGATATCGAGATTTCTATTTGCAGGCTTTGTGCAATCCCAGACACATAATCATAACTGCAGTTTTCATGGTGTTAGCATATGTTGAAATTAGAATCTGTCGAATATGTGCTTCACTTCATATGTTCTAAATTTGAATTTTCAAGCAGACTGCCCATGGCAAATGTCGCTACCAAACTTCTGACTGCTGTGGTGTTTGGTATATTTCTTTCCAGTTTTGATCTGTACCTCAACTTAGCTTGACAGACGCGAATTGATTACATACTAAGTGTTCTTTCTTTAGCAGGGACTCTACAAAAGATAGATGTGTTGAAAAAAAGGTACTAGAATCTTGGTCAATGACATGGCTCTAAGTGAGTCTTCTAAATAAATGATTGATTTTTTGAAGCAGAATGGGGTCATGTTTTTTGCAACTGAATGAAATATTTTCCCCAATACACTTTCTGAAAAGTTAGCAAGCCTGCTACAGTTAGTGTTATTGTTATCACACACCATTGGGCGATTTTGAGCGTGTCTGTGTGAGCTTACGTGTGTGCGCGCGCGTGTGGGTGCACATGCACTGTCTCCTCACCTTCTAACAAATCCATTATTTGTGGACAGACGCAGTCTACGATAAGTAGCCTATGAGCAAGAGTGTGAATGTCTGCACTACTAAACAAATTCCCAAGTTGTGACAAAGGCTACGAAATGAAGTGTGTGCATGCGTGTGTGTATGTATGAGTGTAGTGTGAGGAATCCCCTTGTTATTGACACAAGCCATGAGGTGAGGTGAGGTGTGTGTGTGTATGAGTGCGCGCGCGGGTGCATTTGTGAAAAAGTGTGGACAGTGTGTATGCGTGTAGTGAAATGTAAGGAATCCTCTAGTTGTTGACACAGGCCATGAGGTGGTTGCACAGCTTGGCGTACTCCAGGTTGTCCCCGGACAGTTTCCGGACCTGCAGTCCTGGTCCGTGCTGGTCCGTGTGGGCGCACACCTCCAGCTCCATCTGCAGATCCATGTGTCCGTTGAGACGGAAGGACGTGTCGCGGCACTGGTAATCCACCTGGGGGCCGATCGAATCCAGGGCGGCCTTGACCGCTCGCAGCACGTCCTCCACGCTCTTACACTGCGGCGCTCGGATCTCCAGCAGTACGGAGGGAAGCTCCTGCCCCCAGGAGGAAACAGTTGGCCCGACAGAACTCTGCTCCATCTCCGAGTGGCTGCCAGAGTCCCCAGCACAGATGGAGGCACGAGGCGTGTTGGCCGGGGTGGGGAACGGCGAGGTGGCCGGGGAGTAGCAGCCGTTGGTCGGGGAGGAGGAGGAAGGGGAGGGGCCCACAGAGGGGAATGCTGGGGTGGGGGAGGGCCCAACGGATGGGAATACCGGGGAGGAAGGCCGGGAGGAGGAGGTGGAGAGGCAGATGCTGGGCGAGGGGGCTATATGGGGCGGGGAGGGCGAAGGGGAGGGGGAGGCATGGGGGGACGCGGAGCCTCTCCTTCGCTCCCGGTGTGGGGAGGAGGGGCAGGAGGGGGTGATGACGGGGACGGGGGAGGTGGTCGGGGAGCACACCAGAGAGCAGGGGGAGGAATGTGGCATGGTCGGGCCGCCAGCTGCTGAACGTCTGTGCCACTGGCCCGAGACCAGACTCGAGTCGTCAGCGCTGGCTCCGATCCGGTCAAGGTTACTGGCCGCGGACAGGCTGCTACAGAGGTCAGGGCTGGTCGGACAGGTGGGAGAGGTGGCTCGCGGGGCCAGGTAGGGCAGAGCCATGGGAGGGAGGCCGCTCGCGTACGCTCGCTGCGCTGAGAGGGAGAGGAAGCCTAGGGGGTTGGGAATATCTGTGCCCGTGCTGTAACCTGGGTAGTAGTACTGGTGGTGGTGGGCTCCGGGGGGTGGGCCGGGGGAGGGGGAGGACATATCACAGATGCTCTCAGAGGGGCTGGACTGTGCATGCTGCTGAGACTGCGGCTGTTGTTGTTGTTGTTGATGATGATGATGATGGTGGTGGTGGTGGTGGTAGCCTGTGTTGCGGCGTAGACGCGCGTTGGTGCGCTGGTGAGGGTGGTGCCTCACGGCCCCGGTAGAGTACGTGGGGGTGGGGCGGCCCGCGCTGGGGGAGGAAGAGGTCAAGGCATCTTGATTCCGGCCACTTGGTATACTAGCCAAGTTCGTGTTCACCCAGGCCGGGTTGAAGAGCTGCTGCAACGCCTGCTGCTGTGTGGTGCAGCGCGACGACCGCCGGGGGGCACCACCACCACCGCCGCCCCCTGACGTGGGCGAGCCAACAAGGGTGGAGGCCGGGCTCTCTATGTCGCTGGGGTCCGTGGTGATCACGTCCGTGACGTGACCTTGAGCGTCTGTGATGCTGATCTGCGGGTTGCCCGCGTACGCACGCAGCACATGTGGGCCCATCGTGTACTGCTCTAGCTCCGAGGAAGACGTTGGGGTGAGCGGCGGGTGCCCCCCTCCGTAACCCCTGACCCCTTCCTCGCTCATCTCCTCGTCCTCCCCAAGCCTGTCCTCCACTCCGTTCTCCATCGCGTCGCCAGAGTCCTCACTGATCATCTGCAGGTTCTGGAAACTCGGGGAGGAGCCGTAGCCCTGAACCACAACACCCTGTGGTGGGGACGAGCCGTAGCCCTGAACCACAACACCCTGTGGCGGGGACTCGGAGCCACGCGGCAAGCCCGACGTGTTAACGTAGCGAATGGAAGGTTCGCCAGACGCCTGAGCTGCTACGAGTGGCAGGCCAGACGTGATGCTCCCCCCACCACCACACAGGGGCTGGACATGTGGAAGGCCGGAGAAAATTCCCGTCTGCGGAGGTCCCGAGCCCACGCTCTTACCCATGACCGCCGAGGGAGGTATGCCCGAAGTGATGCCCACCTGTGGCGGGCCAGAGCCCACACCCTTGCCCACGGCCGGAGGGATACCTGAGGTGATCCCGGCAGCCAGCAGGGGTGGGGAGGGGCCGTGCCTCCCCCCGGGGGTCGGGGAGACAGCGGGCGAGCTCATCTGGTGCAACTGTAGCTGCTGGAGTTGTTGATACAACATGGTCGATGGCCCGTCGGGGGACAGGGGGCGCTGGTAGCCCGGAGAGCCGGGGGCGGGCGGGGAGGGAGATCGGCACAGGGAGCTCTGGGGAGCCATGAGGAGACGATTATACACAAGAGAATATATAGTCAAAATTGTTCAAGACAGCCAGTCATTGTAGAGGAATAAAATGGTTGTCTTAGACAGGTGGACATCTTGGGCAATGTCATTATCATACTTTTTAAAAAAAAAACACAAGGAGGAAGTGGGAAGTGGTTGTTTGTGCGGGTGATCATCTCGGATACATGACTGTTGGAGTAGTTTCGACTGTATGATACACTGGCATGTATGCACACACACACACACACACACGACAAAACCTAAAGAAGGTACATGATTTGGGGTTAGACTGGTGAACGATTTCACACACCCATCTTAAAAGGCAAAGACTTGTGAGATAAGAGTAAGTGAGGGGGAAAAAAGACGCCTCCTCTCTGTGTGTGAAGCTACACCAGGCAATTCAGAATTGACGAGGCCACATAGTGAGACAAGTACACACAAACAGAAGCACACGCACGCTCACACAGAGTGCGACACATGAAAATGAGCCAGGCAGAGCGAACAATGCATGGTCGGACAGAGTGAAGCAGTTACACACAGACAGACAGATAGACACACACATAAACAGAGTGCGACATATGACAGTGAGTAAGGCAGGCTGTGTGATAAAAGGCTTATGCTCGACACTGCAAGACACGGACACACAAATGGAAATCAAATACTATATGTCACTGCTGGCAGTGTTATAATCTGCTTAAGAAAAAAAAAGCAAACAGTACTAATAAAAGCTCTGACTCAAATTACTACAAGCTTTTAAGCAAATTGTGTGGAGGTTTAAAAGAAGAAGCAGTTAAAAAAACCCCAAACAAACTAAA